AACTCTAATAGTAGAGTATAAAATGTTACTTCTGGGCCAGGGCGTCTTAAAAAGCAAGGCAAAATCTTACAAATTTACCTTTTCGCCCAAAAGCAAACAACCGAAAAATATCTAAAACCTCTCAAAAAGCATTAATTTTTATCCACCCCAAAAGTACCCAAATATGTGTAGACCACCGAAAATTGGGCACACAAAAAAACCGTTAACATCATATCCTCAACCCAAAATAATGCAAAATTACCTCAAGAACGCCCTAAAAAAACTAACAAAATACCTTGTTTTTACACACCCCAAAATGGCTTTTTACTTCTGGACCAGGACATTTGGCGTCTTCAAAAAACAAGGCAGAATCCTAAAAAATTAGCTGTTCTCCCAAAAGAAAACAACTGGAAAAGACCTAAAACCCTGTAAAAAGCAGTAACTTTCATGCACCCCCAAGTACCAAAAATTGGGCACACGAAAAACTGTTGAAATCTCTCAACTTAATGCAAAATGACTTCAAGGACGCCCTAAAAAACTAACAAGATGTCTTGTTTTTAAACACCTCAAAATGGCTTTTTATTTCTGGACCAGACCAATTGGCGCATACAAAAAAAGTGAAAACAGCACCAAATCAAAGAGGTATATTTGGCGGCTGACCTCATAAAACAGAAGAATTCATTTGTAATTGTGTGCTGTTCCACGCAATATTGTTTTCGCTACTTAATAAATATTTTTTAATTTTTTCTGGTAGAGAGATTCCAAAACTGTCAAAATATAAAATATTTCTTAAATATGGTTTGTTTACATAACATACCCAGTGTGAGTCGTAACAATTAGAGGGTTGAAAATTAATTATGCCTGATTCATCTTTTTTTTTATTCTTTTTTAAATCATCTCCGAAGGCTTTTTGTGCTACTTTAGTACCTGCATAACCAGCTGCACCTAATCCCAATGCTTTGGCTACAGCTATTGCTGCTGGAATTAAAGCAGGTAAAAATCCACCTATCTGGGTTGGAGAAAATTTGATATCACAATATTTTTTCTTGTCTTTTTTACATTTTCTAATTTCATCAGTCTGTTTTTCTCTTAATTAAATAATTTTATTAGGTCTTTCTGTTAAATCGAATCTTATATTACAATCTATTCTTTTATCTTTACAACTTTGGAGTTTCTTTATTTGATTAGGTGACAAATATACTTTATAATCAGTCATTTATTTAATTAAAAACTCCGCTGCCTCGTGAGCGTCCCTAAAAGGGACTATTGCTCCGCTGGCCAAAGGCGAACTCAGCGAACTCTCTACTTCATTTACAAGTAAATCTTTTCATCTATGATATTCATATTTGCCATTCTTTGAGATTCAACTGCAGCAAATATATAGTAATTAACGTTTTGATAATCTTTTAATTTCCAATTAACTTCTAGTTCAGAAGATTTTGTTTTACTAAATAAATTTTCATCATTTTCTTTCGTTACATCAAAAGTAACAACTAAATATCGGTTACAAAAATCTTTATAACCAACACACGTGCCTTCGTCCAAATCTTTTTTATAATTACATGAAAGGAATGCAGCATACAAACGTTGTAAATCCTCATTATTTACCAGATATTCATAAGTAGAATATGGGGGTAACCATTGATTTTAATATTTATTCTTTTTAAATTCATCTTATCAAAAATCATCATTGTCTTGGCAAAATTATCATTTCGATCAGCTCTAGGAAAAACTGTATAAACTCTAGATATTTTATTTTGTTTATTTACAACGCGCTAGTTTCCACTTCCAGAAGACCACAAATTACTACGGTAACAGTTAAGCGCATTCCATCCACAAAGAAAGTTAGATTTGCTAACTAATAATGAAGATAATATTTTTTCAGTTTCTAGTGAGGATTTTGCTATTGGAATCCATAAACTAATATCAGATATTTCATAATCATAATTTCCATCAACTTTAGCATGTAATACGTATATTTTTCACTCTATTTTTGCGTAATTCAGTGCGAATTTTTGCATTCAAAACTTTGTTACATTCTTGTACAAATCGAAAAATTTTAGATAAAGGAATAAATTTTGTAATCGTTTTTTTCATCTTTTGTTAACAACCATCTCTCCAAATATCCTTCATTAAATGCAGAATTATTTGTCATTTTTGAAACAAGAGTTTTTATATCGACGTCTAAATCTTGAAATTTTTCAGATTTACTTTGCGCATCATACTTATATTGAGATGTACCTGCTGAATCTGCAGTGTCTGGATACCAATATAATTGTGATGCTGAAGTATCAGATACACCTCCTGAAAATTCAATCAGATTTGAAATTAACGTAGCAACACCCACATAATTTGTTTCTTCTATTAATACCTCTTCATAGAATAACCTCTGCTGAAGTCGCAATTTTTACCTCCTCAATACGATGACAGGTTATGGGATGAGATTAAGTCTCGTCACCAGGGCAAGGACGAACCTATCGTAATCTATGTCTCGTTTATGCGCACTCTGTTCAATTTATTTCTCAGTTTGCTTTACATGATATCAACTCCGTGGATAGTCTTGTAGAATTGTCTAAAAAGTTAGAAATAGCGGCCCAAGCAACTACTTCGCGACACTTTGCGTCACCCCGGTCTCAAACTAGTCTGATCGAGCCCGAGTTGGCCTACGAAGTAGATAAATGTCCGGCTGCCATCGCGGAGACTACGGCGTCAAAAACTCCCGTGCCTTCCTACATTAAACAGGGCAAACTTAATAGACGTTCTGAAGGGCCAAGAGAGCCCACCGTATGTTTTAATTGTCGGCTACCTAATCATAGTTACGCCAGTTGCACACAGAAGAGACGTCGATTCTGCTTCAGATACGGAAAACCTGAGGTCACATTGACTCAATGTCCTAATTGTTCAAAAACCGCGCCCACAGTATACCGAAGACATTTTTAGGGGTGATTGGTTACGCAGGCTCGAGACTGTGTCCCCGTTCTTTAAGGATTCTACCTTACCTCCAGAAAATAATGTGACTCCCGTCTTTGTAAGTAAGAAACCTGACGTTAGACCGTACGTTTCAATAGATAGTTGTGGCGAAAAAGTCGCTGCGTTAGTTGATACAGGTGCGTCAGTTTCTGTGTTTGGAGGTAAAGGACTTTATCTTATCGAGAAATTTATTTAATTTAGAGGTGAAGAAACCAGAACCTAGTTGCCGCATAGTAACGGTCGACGGACGTTCTAAACCTGTCCCCGGTTATGTCCATATTCCGGTTAGATTAGGGGATCATGTTCGCGTTGCTCGTATCCTAGTTGTGCCAGACTCCATCCAAACTCTCATCCTTGGAAGGGATATTTGCAACCTGTTTCGTTTAAGCCTCAACTTTTCTGATATGACGTGGGAAATCAATAGTCGTGAGTGTTTTGTCTTCAACTAGTGTCCCCCTTTCGAGAGATCAGGTCCAACAAGCTGACGAGATAGTTTCTTTATTTCGCGAAATCAGCACCGAGAAAAGATTGGGTTCAACCGACAAAATCACTTTTACTATTGATACTGGTAACGCTAAACCGTTTAAGTTAAGACAATACCCCTTTTCGCCTAACGTCATGAACGTGCTAAACGTCGACTCTATGTTAACTCTTGGTGTCATTGAGCCTTCTCGTAGTCCCTGGAACTCACCTGTATTGATAGTCAATAAGAAGAATGAAGAACCACGTTTCTGTTTTGATCGTTGCCGTTTGCATCAGGTTACCAAGCACGATTCTTATCCCGTGCCTCGCGTAGTTCGGATTCTAAGCATGCTCGGAAATGCTAAGTTTATGTCGTCTATTGACCTTAACAAAGCATTCTGGCAAGTGCCACTTAATGATGCCTCGAAAGAAAAAACAGCTTTTTCGATATCGTCTCATGGATGCCGTGTTTGGACCCCGTTTTGAGCCACACCTCTTTGTCTACTTGGACGACATCATTGCTGTTCTTCCACCTTTGAGGAACATATCGAGCTTCTTCAAGAAGTTCATAGACGCTTGGTCGAGGCTAATCTTACCATCAATCTTGACAAGTGCCAATTTTTCCGTAGTTCGCTCAAATTCCTAGGTTACGTGGTGGACGAGAAAGGGTTACGAACGGATCCCGACAAGGTGTCGATCATGGTGAACTTCCCTCAGCCTCGAAATACAGGCGTTTTATACCGCATTTCTCGGGCATTTGCTCGCCATTAAGTTATCTGATTCATAAGAAGGGAAAGCGGCAACCGATCGAATGGTCGCAGGAAGCCAACAACGCGTTTCAGCAGATTAAGGATGCCCTTGTGTGCGCACCTATTTTGTCTAGTCCGAATTTTAATGAGCGTTTCATTATACAGTGCGACGCTTCTGATTGCGGGCTAGGTGGGTTCTTAACCCAAATGATTGACGGTAAAGAAAGTGTAATCTCGTTTATTAGTCGTTCTCTTTCGACGAGTAAAAAGAATTACTCGGCGACAGAGAAAGAGCTCTTAGCGTTCCTTTTTTGTATAGACAAGTTTAGGCCATACGTTGAAGGTACCCGTTTTTCCGTGATTACAGACCAGTATTCCCTGTTGTGGTTCAACCGTTTAAAAGACCCCACCGGTCGCCTCGCTCGGTGCACTGAAAAAAGTAAAATTGTAAATTTACAGTAATTATCGTTGGTTACCGGTTGCCCTGATAAATGCTGTAAATTTACAATGCTAATTTAAAAATTACTTGTCACTGTGAAAAATAAAAAGTAATTTTACAACAGTTTTGTAAATTATTTGGTAAGTTTACTATTCTGTTTGTAATGTATTTTTACAATAAAAACAGTAAAATTTAGGTTGTTTTGTATATATACCATATGTTATTGTTATTATTATTATTATTATTATTTTTATTCTTGTTTAGTGTAAAAAAGCACAAAAAATTGTGTAAACATTTATTGTAAATATGACAAAATATCAAAATAAAAAAACATTAATAGAAAACATACCTATATCTAAACTTAACCAAACTTAACTAACCTATAAGTAACATATATCTGTCTAAATGTCTCTTAACTTCCTCATGAGACTGAGCACCTTTTTTTTGGAGGCTGATAACTTGCGCGATTTGCTTCCACTGTCGGGATGGATTTTTAAAAAATATCTCTGAATCATTTCGAGAAATGTGGACGTCTCCTTCGGGTAGTGTAAATTAAAAATAAAGTACAAAGAAAAGCAACATTCTAAAGCTTGAAAAAAGTCTTTGCACTGTACCACCCTTTCTTTTTCCATATATATATAGAACTGATTTTCGACAGTACCTAAAATTGAAACTCGTATGTAAAAAGTATCAGATTGCAGAATTTTTTTTACGCTTACAGTTGATAATGCACGGTTCGTTTTGTGTAATTTCAATCATAGCTTCATCCTAAAATATTAAAGAACACGATAATAAACAATAATTAATCGCTGACAAAGACATTGTATACCTGAAATTTGAGGTAAAAGGCCCCATAGATATTTTCCTGGAAATATCTTGCAAACAGTTCTAAAGCAATTATTTCTGCCGAATCCCGTCTTACGTCTTTGCTGATGATAATTTTATGTTGTAAGCCAAAATTTACAATTTTTTCTGCTTTTAATTGTAAATTCGTTGTAAGATTGCTTATGTTTCCGTTCGTAACTTTGTTAAAATGCCATTTTATGGCTTCTACTTTAAAAAGGACGGGCCATTGGTCTTTTATGTTAGTGATACTTGGAGGATCGACATTGTTTATGAACGCCCTTTGTTCTGCAAAAGTTTCTTCCAAAAGGTGGAAAAACTCGTCTGAAGCATCATCTAAGAAGGTATTTAATTTGTTTTTAGCTGCAGCGCCAGCTTTTTGATAAGGTGGTGCCCATTGGGCGCATCCTGCCGTTGCGTTTTTCTTAATTTTGGCAAGATGTAGTGGTGTTTCAGGTGATGTGGATACCGGCCGTTTATGCGGCCTTTTTAGGTAATGGTACCGTTCTTGCAATTTTGTTTTTAAACTAGCAGTACCATCTCCCAGAACCACACCATCATCGTCGTAATCTCTAAAGGTTGCGGGATATTTATCGACCATTTTAAAAGAAACGATTTTAAAAGCTTTTGACGGAATCGATTCACTGATTTGTTTCATTTCGTTTACAACAATGTGGACAATTTCAGTAATAGCATATTTGTCCCGTTTGCCTTGGGCACAACATTGGAGCATATCTTGTGGAATTTTCTCCCAAGGTATTACAAAATTGGTCCAGGAAAATTCTAAATTGCAATTAGATGCTTGTATGGTGCAATCCAAAGAAGACGAGTCATTATTCAAAAATTCCGTTGCACCACTGATACATTCGTTACTTTTAGTGGAAGCAATAGTCTCTGTTGAAGTCAGTGACATGAAAGAATGATTATTGAGACCACTGGATGATTCACTTATTTCACACTGGGATTGAGACGACAACCAAACTTGACCCGGTTCTAACAAAATTAAAGTTTCATGTTTTACAGCAATTAATATTTCCTCTTCCTCAACTGGTGTTCCATCTGATTCTAGTACAACAGTCGCGCCATTAATTTCAAGTTTTTGAGATGCTGAAAAAAGACAATGATGTCTGAATATAAAATAATATTTATAACTTACCTTTTAATATTAAATCAACGTAAACATTTCCAGGTTCTTTTATTAAGATTAGTCCCTTCTTTGTACGTATTTGGTCCCATACTTTGAATAAATGCATCCTAAACAAAACACAACACCCAGTTTATTGCTAAACATAAATTATTAAATTATTAAAATATAAAATATTAGAATTTTTTTTTTTATATTTTAATAATTGATTACATTGTTAAAACTATTATGCTAATAATATGATAAAGGAACACTTAAAGAATAACTCACAAATTTTCTAATGATTCATACTTACAACAATTACCTACAGTTCTTTTGTTACCTACTGTATTCTTTCTGAGCAATGATGGTTATGGGTAAATTTAAGTAACATATTATACTGTTAAAATTGCTATGCTAAAATAAAGACAAACAAATGTTCAGACTTCGAAATAAAATTAATACTCCTAAATAAAAACTTAAAACTTACACAACTTACAAATTCTCGAATGGTTCTGACTTAAAACTATACACAGTTTTTTTGTTACTTTCGGTTTTTTGGAGCAATGGTTCTGGATGAATTAAGCTATCATAATTTACAACTGACAAATTTTGATTTTTAAAATTAGAATCAGTGTTGTAATACAAACCTATTTCACAATCATATGTTATTTTTAATGTAGTTCCAATGAAACAAATGTTATCAAAAAATTCATCAATAACTATGTATTGAATCGAACATAATTTATATGCACCATAATCGTCAACACCAAAACAAACTACGGCATGTTTTTGGTAAGTAATTCCTCTAAATATGACTTTTGAAGATACAAAACATTTTGTAGTTTTAAAAGCACCTTCAATTTTAGTGGATAGAGTCGGCAGATAATTATTCGAATTGTAGATTTGGGATTCATCTGCTATTACTTTGGTGCTGAACAAAGTATTTTGTGAATACAACAGAGCCTGTAACAATTGGTGTTTATGAGAAAGAGAATATAAAACATTTTTATAATTCGTTGAATGTTTGACAATTCGTTTAAAGTACTGATGCTTACTTTCAAACCTCATGGTCCATAGATATCTCAATGGCCCAAATTGTAGTATCAGTTGTGGATAATGCAATAAATAATGATGTTTTGGTTTTAAAGATTCTTGTGGTAGTACTTCTTTGCGTTTATGTAAATAATCTATTATTAACTCTTTTAAATAAGCTATCTGACCCACTGAGACTTTGTAACTTAATAAAAACAGAACTATTTTCCTAAGAATTAAAATAGCATTCCATGCTTTATTATTTGTTAATGTTTTATTTTCTAGTGCAAACGGCAATATTATTATTAACCACATATTTTGATGAGCTGTACCTGAAAGTCTCTCGGATTTTTTTAGCAGTGGTATATCGACTTTTTTTTCTCCTTCAAATTTTAAGACTTTTAATGTAGAATTTAATTCTTGGAAACATATTTCTTTAGCATTAACCAACTGATCAAGAGTTAATATTAAATCGGATTGTACAACTCCTTCGAAAAGATCATGTGCAATACATGGTGGTAAACCAGGATTAGCGACATGAAAAAAGCTTAATGTATTAAAAACAGAATCAGATTTTACACCTCTATAAGATCCATTAGTTGCTAAACTCATATTAACATCGTAAATATAGGAATTTTTTGTTCGACGTTCACATATTTTTGTTAAACCGTCATTTTTGTTTACTTTGTTAATATAACAATATCTACAAAAAAATCCAGATAAACTAAAGTTTTCATTGTAGCCGCCAATTTGGTGACTGCCAAGATTATCACCAACTACAGCTACCAGTGCTCCTTTTAAACATTTAACTTCAGAGCATGATATCTGGATATTAACACCTTCTTCAAGTTTTTTCAAGTCCTGAAGTAGATTTTTTAAAACCATTGCAAATCCAAATTGTTTTACATCTTTTTCATAAATTAATGCAAGTAGTTGAATATGTTCAACTTGAGATCGGTGCCAAGTAGGGAGATTTGTAAATATAGCATAAAGGCCTATAATTTTATGTTTTTTTTTTGGAAGCACCTAAAGGATTACATATTTCAAAAGTATCCTGATATAAAATAATTTGAACGGCTTCAACATTTTCTTTAAAAAAAATATTATTTCTGAAGCAACTTCCATCCTGAATATCTGAAAAAACATCAGTATTTAGTGAAACGTTTTTTTTTATTATGAAACTGTTTATAAAACGATTCTGTTTTCATTAATTCTGTGATTGTTTCTATTATGGGCACATAAAAATATTTCGAATTTTGATTTAATTCAACGCACACAGGACTTACGTAATTAAAATATTTCTTATAATACTTGCTTCTACAAAACTTACTTCTTAGCTTACCGCCTTTAGAATTGTGAGCTAGGTTAAACAAATTATTTTCAATAATTTTTTTCTCAACTTCGAAGTTAGAAGCTTGTAAATTTTTAATGATAAAATTTGTGTTTAGATCGTTAACATCAGAGAGTCCGTTGATTAATAATTGTAAAGATTTATTTGACAGAAAAAATTTTGATTCTAATGTTAAGTACAATGAACTGAGTAATTTTAAACTGACCTCTTCCAAATTTTCAGTAAAACATTCTGACAAATCATCGCTATCATGTGTTTTTTCTTCAACATACTCTATATTTGTCGTTATACTTTTACTAGTTGATGGCAAATTAATATCTGACTGGGTGTCTTCATATTCACATTCGTTTTTCAGGGATGACTTCAAAAAATGTTTCCTAAAGATATGTTGCTTGAAAATCGTAACTCTGGAAAATACAGAATTACATTCGCTTGACAGTGGACATTTTATTGTAACCCCTCTTTCAATGTGCTTATTTACATGAGCAATAAACTCTTTTTTAACATCGTTTTTGTAATCACATTTGATCACATTACAGCTATAAGATATTTGAGAAGTTAAACGTTTTTGTTGATTTCTAGGATAATTATGTTTTCTGTATACATGAAATTTAAAACGATTATATGACTTAAAATTTAAAGTGCAACCAATCTGTAGGCATTTAAATCTAACTCCAGTCATGTTGCGATGAAACTTTTGATCTATTTGATATTTCTCTATCGATTTAAGATTCATTTTACAAATATCACAAGTAAACATCTTCAAATCTTCAATTACAAATAATGCAAATCAGTATGGCGGGTATGAAGTTTAGACTTACCTGTACACGAGGAGACCACACGTTTGTCCAGACAACACAAGTAATAATGCGTCACTTTAACCGAATATGCGCACGCAAGCAGAAAAAATTACATACACGTTGTAAATATACTGGTTTCGATGCGAATTCACAACGTTGCTCTTTATTTACAACTGGCCAAGGTAAATTTACCAATTTGATGGAAATATTACATTCTTTATTGTATATTTACTGATCAATTGTACATAAATTAATTAAAATTACCTTATCAAAAGGAAATTTACCGTAAGTACGGCAAAAGTTCTGCGTTTTTTGTAATATTACAAAGAAATTAAATATCGCATTAGATTTCTTGTAAAATTCACCTGAAAAATGATGTATTAGATTTGTGAATTCACGACGACTTTTTTCAGTGTGGGCTATGTGGTTGCAGCAGTACTCATTCGACCTTCTCCATAGGAAGGGCGAATCCCATGTCGTCCCCGACGCTTTGCCTCGTGCGCCTATAGACAGCATCTCTTCACTTTCCGTCTCTGAAGACGATCTAGATGGTGGGTATATCAATTTTCGCGCAAGAATCGAAAGTGAACCTAACCAATTCCAGGAATGGTCCGTGAAAGAGGGAGTAATTTTCCGGCATTTTCCTGTTAAGGCTGCCTCTAACAAGAAAATGTTCCTGTCTGGAAAATACCAGTTCCGAAAAGCAAACGTGCATCAATACTAAAGTGTCACGACCAACTCACGGCAGCGCATCTTGGTTTTTTTAAAACTTTATCTCGACTTCGTGAGCGTATGAAGTCTGATGTCCGTCAATACCTAACAGCCTGCGAAATTTGGGCCAAACATAAGGCACCCAATTTCCTACCATTTGGACTCATGGGCCAAGAAAAAATGTACCGTTTCCTTTGCAGATAATTGCCATAGATTTAGTGGGACCACTGCCCCTTTCCCGTAAACGTAATAGTTATCTGCTTGTAGTGAGCGATTGGTTTACCAAATTTTCGCTTCTCTTTCCACTGAAGAGAGCAGTTTCCTCTTCTATCGTCCCAATCTTGGAAAAACGACTTTTCCTTGTCTTTGGAGTGCCCCAGTATGTATAATCGCGGATAATGGTACTCAATTCACCGGCACGCAATTCCAGCATTTGGCCACCAAGTACAAAGTACAAAAAATATGGTACACTGCCAGATACCACCCCCAGTCTAACTTCGTAGAAAGGAATAATAGGACAATTGGTACCGCCATAAAATCGTTTATCGATCAAGACCACCGCGAGTGGGACGAAAAATTGCCTCATATACAATTAGCGGTAAATACGGCGGTTCATGACGTTCATGACCCACGACGCCTGCCGACGAAGAGCTGCCGGAGCTGTGACCTATCTAAGGGTTTCGGTCACTAAGTAGGTAGCAGAATACACAAATCGGGGCATAAAGAATTGATTTCAAATTACAGAGGTTTTGTCTAAGCTTTTTGATCATATACTTTCCACATAGTTAAAAATGTCAACTAAGCACATAATAAGTGATGTTCAACACGGATTTTGTCAAGATCATTCCACCACCACAAATTTGGTTTTGTACCAAAATTTTTTAATTGATACTTTGGAAAAGGGTAAACAAGTTGACTCAATTTATGGGGACTTAGCGAAAGCCTTTGATAGGGTTAACCACAAAATCTTAATATACAAACTAAGAACTATGAATTTTGATGAGATGTTTTTCCAGTGGATTGAAAGTTTCATGTCAAATAGGTCTCAAGTTGTTAGAATTGGAAGCTCGTCTTCAAAAACCATTTCTGTGGAATCAGGTGTCACTCAAGGAACCCATTGTGGGCCTTTATTATTTAATCTATTTATTAACGACATTTACCTTTCGTTATATTTTTCAAAAATACTCTATTTGCAGACGAGTTAAAATTATTTCGAGAGATATCGTCAGTTCTGGATTGTGCCCTTTTTCAAAGTGATTTGAATCGAATAGATAATTGGTGTGTATGGAATGATATGAAACTTAACACAGAGAAATGTTTTAAAATATCTTTTTATCGAATTACAGCTTACACTGATTTCTGTTATCGAATTAATAAAACTTCTCTAAAGGCAGTGTCGGAGATACGCGATTTAGGGGTAATTTTTGATCAAAAACTGAGCTTTGTTCCACATATAGATTATGTTCTGAGTAAATCATCAAAAATGTTAGGTTTAATTAATAGATCGTTATATCGTCTTTCCGTTGATGCTCATAAGCTTGTCTACTGTGCCTTGGTAAGGTCTGTTCTAGAATACGCCAGTGTGATTTGGTCACCCACGTATTTGGTGCATATTAGGTCGCTAGAGAAAATCCAAAATTCTTTTTCTTGTGCGTGGAAAATGGGTGACAGTAAAGATAGTTACACTTACTGCCAGATGAGAAATCTACTCTCTTTAGATTCGCTTGAGACTAGAAGACTAAAAACGGATTTAATATTTCTTTTCAAATTATTTAACGGTTATTTATGTTCCAGGATTTGTTATATGTTTTTGGTTTAAATTGTCTTAAAAAAGTCTTAGAAGTAATCCACTTTTCTTTACTCCAGTACATCCAACAAATTATGGAGTCTCATCGACTGTTGCTCGCCTAACGCGTGGAGCAAATTCTCAGGAAGTGGAACTGTTCAGGGTATTTTTCAGAAAATTCAAAGTTTCATTGCGGAATATACAGTATTGATTTTTACCATTATTTACATTGAGTTTCTGTTAAATTAAATCAGACGCTGCCTAAGTTTATTTAAGTTAGTTCAGTTTAGTTATTTTGTATTATTCTTATATTTTTGTTTTTCTGTAATATCATGCGGGTTCCCGTAAATAAACTAGTATTATTATTATTATCATTTTTTTTATTTTCTGGATTTTCTGGACTTTATTAATCACCTGGACTTTCTGGATTTTGTGGATTTTCTGGATTTTGCAGATTTTCCGGATTTTCCAGATTTTCTGGATTTTCTGGTTATTCCAGATTTTCTGGACTTTCTGGATTATTTGGACTTTTTGGATGTTAGGGATTTTCTGAATGTTCTTAATTTTCTGGATTTTCCGGATTTTCCAGATTTTCTGGAGTTTCTGGATTTTCTGAAATTTCTGGATTATTTGGATTTTTTGGATTATTGGATTTTCTTGATTTTCGGGATTTTCTGAATCTTCTGATTTTCCAGATTTTATTGTTATTATTATTAAAAATAATTTCCCAACGGAGCAATCCATTAACAGGGAAGGTATAGCAAGTAAATACGCAGACTTTAAAGTACTCAGATTAGACGAAAGCAACATTTTGATTAACTTAGAATATGGAATCAAATAAAAAAGAAAAGAAAGAAATTACATTAGATGTAATTACATTACATTATTTTCTGGATTTTCTGGATTTTTTGGATTTTTTTTGAATTTATTTGAATTTTTGAATTTATTCAATCATTTCTGCTTTTTGAGAAATTGTAGTTATTTTACATTTTCTGATCTTTACTTCTCGAGCGTAAGCAAAGGAAGTATTGTAATCGAGTCCGTCGGCGAATCTCTACTTTTCTACGTTTTCTTGACCGTTCATGACCCCTGCAGGACGAAGAAATAGGTCTCCCGTTTCCGTCTGTCTGTCCGTCTGTCTGTCTGTCCGTCTGTCTGTCCGTCTATCTGCCGTCACATGTTATATTAGACAGATAATCTCCGAAAATACTGATTACTTCGATTGTTGTCAAATTTTGTATTTATATTAGGAATATCATGTAGATGTAGTTTATGACTCCGAATAGAGTTTTTACCCGAAACGTCCAGATTTTTGGAAAAAAAATTTTGCAATTTAATTTTGAATCTGCTGAACCATTCATATTTTTTGGGTTTGCGTATACAGAGTGACTCAAAAAAATTATCATTGTATTTCAGGAGCGAGGGAAGTTCTATGGAAACAACTTTCGACTAATTGTAATGGAGTCCTACAGTACTAAAAAAGTAGTTTCCCGTTTCCGTTTGTCTGTCTGTCTGTATCCATTTTTATTACACACGTAATCTCCGAAACTGCTGGACCGATTGCTGTCAAATTTTGTATGTATCGCTAATCATCCCCACCAACAATTTGATATCGTCATTTGAATGAATGGTATTCTAAAATCATTCAAATGTTACACAAAAATATATTCATATACTTGTAGTGTATAAATCCACTTTTAGTTTTTTCGCTAACCGTTCAAATTTTCCCAAGAACAATTGCACGGTATAATGTTATATTACCACCACGAAATATATCAGCTCGTGGCGCAGTGGCTCAGCGGAATTCTCGGCAAACCGTCCTGGGTTCGATGCCGAACTTTTTTTTCAAAAATGAAAATTTCCACTATGTATACAGTATAAAGAAATTTATAGACAAAAATATAAACGAATTGAACGGTACAACATCTTTGTATACAGGCGGGCGAGTTGCTGAAAAACCTCATAAAAGACGAAACGAGCCACTATTTAGTCAAGACTCCCACAACCGACTGATGAACGCGGCAAAGTAGTAGAGTTTCCTTCCCCTAAAGTCGCAAGTGGACCCGTCCGGACGCTTTTACCTCCACTGAGTCCTTTTGTTGGTGTGTTCTTCGCAAAGTATTTCCACTCTGCGGGACTGGGTGAAAGAAAAAAGATTGAATCGAACTAACGATCTACCATTCGACCATATACTGGAACGGACGGTGTTCATTTATAGGACCGGGGTTTTTCCAAGACGCTTTGCTACTTTGAGGTAAGTTTTGGGCGAACCATGATAACTGCACCACCGCATCCTGTTTTCTTCTGCGGGCGGATACCGGGGCCGAATAAAAGCTATATCTGTCATCGGTCATTAGTTCCCTCGGTTCGACCCCGTCTCGTCTTTCGTGTTTTATTTTTTGGGAGCAGAGCACTAATTGTGGCCGCTACTTTAAGGATTAAATTATAAGGTGTCGGTAACGCGATCGCGGCAATTACGAGCCGGCGCCGTTTCGCGAAGAAAAAGGGAGATATCACTTCTTGTCAGCACTTACGGGGCTGATTATCGAAGGGCATTTAGCATTCTATAGCAATCGCATTAAAATAATGGATGAGAAAGTGCACCGCGACGCTTGCGCCCTTAGAGCGTCTGCGCCATGTCACCAGATTCAAGCCGGGCCAGTAGTACAGTGTCTTCGCACAAGTTAAGCCACGACTACACTCTGCGAAACGCGTGCTGGCATGTGACGCGTCTGTCGTTACCCATTTGTCATTTATGACAAGTGTCAGTTGTCGCTGTGGATTTGCCGCCAACAGCACCGCACGGCTGCTCTCCTCGGATACTTTGCATCTTCCTTAATTATTAAGTGTTGTCATTTCCGGATTTCCGCATTCCTCGTTGCGACAGGTAATGAGCAGCCCGACATGCAATTGGGGGTCTTAGCGAAACTCGGAATTTTGGCCACCTCGGGCCACGGCTCAGGCCGAATTTTCCGCGCTGTTGCTTGACAATTTATTTTGGCGCATTTTTTCTATTTGTAGAATAAGCTGAGCGAAAGCTTTTAACCTGCAGGTGATGCTGAATGTGTGCGATTGGTGTTTGCAGCTATTTTAAAATCTCGAGTGTCTATCAGGTTTGATTGTTTCAGGTCTGACGGATTGGAATCAGGGTGTTTTAATTGAAAGTGAACTTTGCGTAAGTTGTTTCTGGAAGACGTTATTGCGTTCCCAGCAGCAAATAACATTAGCTTTGCTCCACAGTTAAGGTGTGAACATTTCCTTTATGATTGTGAACTTAATTTAATTCTGTTCCGCTAGTGTAATTTAATAAGCGAGAAGATCGTTCGCTATTCTAGCATGGTTCGTCATAACTGCGCTAAAAGAGGATCGGTTTTCTCGATTTAAAAGGACTAACTCCGCGCACTACCGCGCTGGTATCTGGATAGATATTTAATGCCCCAGATACCGAGGCATTAGAGTGGTCGAGCGGAGAAAAGCCTTAATAATTGTGGACATGTAAGTTGATAACCCGGGCTGATAAGATTAAAATGTCAAAATTATTTACGCAGTGTGTAGTGCAGTGATTCTGTAGTGTCTTCGAACGACGACCACCAACATGAAAACTCTCACCCCATCTCCGAGGAGCTCTTCAGGCCTTCTCGTGCTGACGTCCTGGGTCCTCATCCTACTCGAGCTGTGCACAGGTTTGCCTCTTCTGCTTTTACGCCTCTTTCACCCTACAAAATCCCAAAATTCGTCGAAAACTCGACTCAAAATTCTACACACACGGTGCACTTTTTAAACAAATTTTGGTAACTCAAGTTAATACAATAAGAAAAACCAAAATGGTTACTCTATATTTAGATCGCATAAGCAAAATTTTGACGTTTTTGTGTTATTCAAAAAGCACCAAAGTTTTTTGCATACTTCCAAAACGTCAAAATTCGTTGAAAACTCTAAATAAAAATTTTACATACAATACCAATTTTTGTCGTCAAAATTTTGAAAAATATTTCAGCGGCCATAAAAAGTAATAAAAATCAAAGCGGTTACCGTTTACTGTATTTCGTTCACATTTTGCGCCATTAAAATCGTGACATTTTTATGTTCCGTGCTAAAATCTTAATTAACAAACAAAAAATTAATTAAGAGCGCGCTCTAATCGAGTTTTTATTTTTAAAATATTATTGGAAAAACGACAAAAATGTTTGTTAAATTGATAAAAAAGCTATCAGTCAAGGAACGCGTAATGATGGCGATTATCGGCGAAAATGAAGTAAGTTTGCCGCACGAGCTTGTTGTTCACGCGAACAGAATGTTATAAATTTCAACCAATTTATATTTTCATAATAACATATATTGGCCCAACAAGAATATATTTTTCTAATAACAGTGAGTTATGATTATGAGTCGAAAATGTGTTTCGTAAAATTCTCAAAATGGCAAAACCGAAAGTGAAAAAAAAGGTTGATATTGTGCTAAATAAAATATTTTAATGCATGTGTAATACTGCTGTGAATATTTAATACCGTTTGTAACACACACAACATAAACCCACTAGTTTAATATAAAATAATTTTTGTGCATTATATTTGATTTCAATTGATGTAATCCAGAGCATTGTGAAGTATTACGTTCAATTCTCATTTTAAACACACGCACGCAATTTAATAATGAACACCAAGTGTTATTTTTCCGCGTTCTTCATACTAGAATCAAAAACATGTTTCGTGTGGGTGTTCGAGTCAAATTTTGACCTATTGTGCTCGATTATGCGATTTTTTTTTTGTAATTTTATTTGTCCAAAGTTTGAGGTTTTATTTGAAATGTATAAGTTAGAAACAGAACTGTTGTAGGTATTTTGTTATTCAAACAACTTTTAGCGTTGGCAGCCTCGTTACCATGGGAATCGTGTCTGCGTGGGGTGCAACTCCAATGAGTCACTAATTTATTACCGTAAAAAATAAATCAGTGTTATTTTACATTCAAAATTGTAAATCATAAGTTTTTTGCAACATTTCCGTTATTTATTCTCTCCGGAACCATGATGACGTCACTTCAAATTTTATTAAACGACTATTAATTGAAAAAATAGTTTTAGTACCGGAGTAATAAACGTAGTAGAACCTCTTGCGCAAGTAATCGATAGCATGTGCTGCCATCAAGCGAAAGAAATAAAAAATAAATCACTTTTCATCAAAACATCACTTATACAAACTAATAATTAATTTCCAGTTGTGAATAAACAAAAATTAATTGCTGCCTGTATTCATCTCCACTGCACAATAGTTTACAATGTACACTGTTGATGTGGTAAATAACAAATTTAAAAATCGTGGTGACTTTGTTTTTGCAGATTTCGATAAAAATATGCGAATAATTGCAAAGTTTCCAATCAAAAATGTATTATTTTGCTCTACATTTTATGGAAATGTGTTATTGAAAATATTCAGTAAAGCGAAAATTTTAATGTTGAATATTATAATTTTACGTGATGAATCGCACACGAGGCACGTTTTTGTTAAAGGTAATTCATTTTCAACAATTTTCACACTATCCCATATTTCATATATACATATATATATACATTGTTTCATAAGTGAAATACTGCAGAATAATAATAGTAATAATAAAAAAAGAGAATTCGAGATGGCTACACTATTTTTATTTCGCGCATTGACTAAAACTGAGGGCGCAGTTCCGATGCTTTTGGTGTCGTCGGTCGGAGCCGGCCCTGCCCTCACTACATCACACTTACACCCTTCGTTAACGAAACGACTGCCCGCTACTACAAATTACCCAAATTTCTCCGACCTTTTCTCCGGAAAACTACACCGACACAAATACACACGAAGTATTCCGGCAGTAACCCGTTCGTAAAACTCACTCTCGGTACGCAAAATGAAATTGCGTTTATACAACACTCTAAAAACAAAATGTTACTAATCCTTAATTAAAAGTGCCATTACCACCTCGGAACTTTTTGAGCTCGCCTCGTACACGGCGCCGTAATTACAACGTTTGGATCACAGAAATATCAAAGTAATTGAGAAAAGCTCGAGGCACTCAATATTTCATAAAAACAAAATTGTTCCATGAACATCGCCTTTATTATTATTATTATTATTTATAACGGCGTGCACGGAATTGCTGATGTTCTTTAAAAATTAATTCCATTCAATATCGTTAAAATATACAGATAAAGCTTTTATCTAACGAAGAACTCATTCCTCAGAATTATTAATATGGAGACTTCTAAATTTTGTTTTCATCGCTAAATCAAGCCGCCTTTTAGAGGAGGGTGCGATAATGGATATAGCGCATGTTTACATATTCGTCCAAATTTAATAAAACGAATATTTTTTTTTATTAGCAAAGAAAGTAATAATAACAACACAGCCTTCTAAAGGCTTCTAAAAGATTTTTTCAACTCCGAGGAACTAATACCGGTTGGTTAAAACCTGTTTAATTCGATGGCAGGCGTGAATCTCTGCACGTATTTTTCTAGAAAAACAAGATTTCTAAAATGCTTGCTCTGTAACTTCGGAAACAGTTTCTTTGAATAAAACTAAATAATGTCAGTCGTCAAAAAACAACTTTTAGTGAAAAAATCGCCTAAATAAACGTTTCTGGCTGTTGGCACGTCGTGATTGGCCAATATTGATTTGAGTGACCTTTCTTTGTATAGTATAAATCTGGGAACCAAAGAAGGGATACATGTTCTCATACTAATATGACGTATGAGATGATGGATAAAGCGAATCGAAATGTGCCATTTCAGAAAAGGGTATCAAGAATATTTGTAGCAAAGTCAGAAAGAAGGGTGTGAAATATTACGACGAAAATGGAACGTTTATGTGGACTTCAACATCTGGAATTAAATTAATATTTTCGCATAGCAACTTTACGAGATTATAAATTTCACTGATCTTGTACAGCTGCGACAAACCATATTACCATAATTAATTAAAAATTTAACTGACGACAATCGATCGAAAATATTTTGGTTCTGAGATGGCCGCGACTAATTTCGGACGTAAACATTTTTTCATATTGTGTGTAGAATATATAGTATATTATTTTAGGACATGCATATTATGTTATAAGCTAGTTTGATTATTTAGAGCGTTCCTCACGCAAGTCGGGCCACGTATTCGTTATTTTTTTTTTTTTGTAACAAATTGCGAAAAATGAATATTTCTTTGAAAGTGGCGTAAATTAACGCGTACTTTCACCCTTCACCCTTAGATGTTTATGGATCGTGCTCGTGCTAATGGAGTGGATCATAATTTTTGCGTTGAGTTCATGCGAGTTGTAACATGTATTCTGGAATTCCGCGTTGTTATGTTAAAAACCAATTTATTTAAATGCTTCCATTTTTTAGCGTTTGTAACACGCAGTTATGACAAATGCGTTTTTTTCCTAATTATGCGCACGCAGCCGCTAATGTCCTGCGTACACACGCCGATAATTCGTGAACTTTTGTGGGAAAATCGGTGACGAAAATGATGCCGATTAGTATCTACTAGAACAGTAAACAATGACACTGTCAATAATTAAGCAGCTATAAGTGTAGGGTAAATTTTGTTTCATTGAAGATAGTGAGTAACGTAATTACGTTGGAGAATTATTTATGGATTGCGCTAAATTTTTTACTTTTGATCAATTTTTAATAACTCTGTGAAACGTGTTGCGGGTCTTATACGTCGACTTGATTAAATTTTAACTCTCTCGTGATTATCATTGACTTTTTAATTTAGGACAACTTTCTTGTGTAATATCTTATTTCCGGGTTTTTACAACATTTTGAATTCTTCATTGTTCGCGTTCTTGTTGTCTTCTTCCCAGATTTATTATGCCCCAGGATAATGCGGCAAACTCTTTTAAAAGACAATTTCCACAAGACACTTTTTAATTCGCCTAAAACAAAACCGCGCTTGTTTATTAACTGGCTAAAATACGACGCAGAATGATTAGCTCCGGAATTCGCGGCCTTTTCAAGCCTTATCGTGCCACGAAACCACCACCGATTTAACTTTTATTGATTTCTTACACCGATTTATTATGTTGCGACAAAATGGCGAGATGCATTCTCCCACACAACATTAATACTTCTGTCGCCAATCACTGGCCGCTGCTGAAACCTCTCCGGAAGCAGCCATCTATTTTTTTTAAGTTTATCTTGAATTCATTTCTTTTGTTGCGAGTTTTAAAATGGTAGCAAATAGATGGTTTATAGTTGGCTTAAACCGGTGTTGCGTTTGTTTATTAAATGGGGGTAAAATATGGTGGAGAATGATTAGTCGTTGAATCGGCGGGGTGTTCAAATTCGCGTTGTAGCACGAAACAACTAATGGATTTGTAGGAATAATTGCTGTCAACTGGGTCCATTTTTCTCCATTTCCTTGCGAAATCCCGTACAAATGGTAGCTACTTTTCGATAGAAATCGATTTGACGTTCATTTATTGCTAACACTTAAACTGCGTCTAAAAAGGCCTTTACTCGCTAAACTTATTTATCAACCCTCTTATAACATGTTAACAACAGCTATTCCAATAAACTTCCAGATTCTCATTATTAAATCAAATGGACCATGACAATAAAGTTTTCCTCGTAAAACAAAATCATAAAAAGTTCCCGGTTATATCGCAGTTTACTGCAAAAATAAAAATTATATCCAAACTTAATCAGTATTTTTCTTAC